AAAACAACCCATTATGGTTTTTACAGCCATGATTTTATCTAAAGCCTTTGCTAATCTCCATGGCTGAAGAATCACCTCTTTCAAGTTATACAGTTGTTTTTGTTGTTACACTCCAGATGGCCTATTTTCCTGTAGCATGCCTCTGAGGTATGATCAGAAACTTTCTAAAACTCATCAACTTCTCCTCTTTGGCTGCTTACTCATTCTTGACATGCATTTGGGAATGAAGGACGCAGCCAGAAGTTTGGTATGGGTCTCTAATAATATAGAAGTCCTGTGCAGAAAAAACAAGCAGTACTTAGGGGGTGCAGGTGGTATTTTCATATTTTCCACTGGTTTCAAGAAGGCTCTGATCCTTGGTTGAGAAAGTGCTTGGAGAATAAACAACTGGCTGTGAAGATAGTATTAAAAGAATAGGACCTGGATTGGGGATCATGGCTGAGGATACCAGAACAAGGGGCTGGGGTGGGAGATGGGTGTTGTTAATGCCACCAACCTGATCCAGAAGGTTTAAGGTACATTTTGAGGGGCAGTGGTGCATAAAATGCCTCAGTAAAACCAGAAAAGCAAACCATGTGTGACATCGAAAAGAAGAATAATAGTTGGATATGTAGCCATTAATTCTCAAGAGAAATAGAGCAAAGTAGACCAGGAACAATATTTATGGCTCCAGAAAGGTCTTTACGCTGATGAATATGGAATAGTTGTTTTAAAAAGTGATCTTGAGTTTAACGGCAAGAAAGAAAGAACACACCAAGAATTGGTAGAATGACACATGAGTCTCGAAATGGCAATAAATCACATCCAAAGAAAACAGGTCTAATGAGAAAAAATGGGAGCATGTGGACCTGGTGAGGAAGTTCCACTCTGAATTCAGAGGTGTACATGTACGGAAGCTGTAAGGACAGATACAAGCTGGAGGAAGAGAGAGAACTGGAGGCAGTTCTGCTGTGGGAATGTACCATAGACCTTTCAGCTCATTAGCAGACATAAAAGATGCTGTCTAATCCAAATTTCCGATTTACCCCAGAAGAAAAGCATTATCGTGATGGACAATTTTTGTCAGATGTTTCCTTTTGCCTAAAACGGATCCTCTGATACATTTTTGATTTGATCTTTGACAATTTAATTTCTTAAAAGAGATAAAAAGAGAAATAAATTACTATTCTGGGATCTAATTCTGACGTTCAATAACTATTTACAGATATGGAAGTGATAGGACTCCAGAGAGAATGCGATATCTGTAAACATAATAGAGCACTGGATAGAGTAAATTTTGAAGCGTCAGAGGGAAGATGGCTGTGATCCCTCAGCCTGAGACTCTGGATGCCATGGCGACTAATGTAGGGGAGGGGGAAACAGAAGTGACCTCAATGAAAGCGAAGGGAGACATCTGAAGTCACCAAGGTGACATGCAGGTTGCTCTAACATGAGTCCAGACTTAAAGGACATGGACAAAAGATGAAAAGATGGTTCTAACCAAGGACAACTTCCAAAAAGAGCACAATCTTGTCTCAACCGAACAACAATAAAGCTGAGCTGAGACTTAGGGAAAGTTCCGGTTACAAGAAAAAAGGCAAGAGCTGGACCGGCTGGCTCCTTGCAGCAGACAGTGCAGCTTTGGATGAGGACAATAAGGACGGGTCCTGACCTCTGTTTGGCTTCTGTTACTTTTGTCAAGCAAAATGACCTGAGAGTTGGAAGGGTTGGAATCAAGAGGAAGAAGTGAGGACTAACACGGTAAAGGACAGTACAAGGAGACGCTACTGTGGGACAGTTTGTTGCCTGATTTAGGAGTGACTTTGGGAACACGGTGCATGTACTTCCTGACCTCTAGTTTCCCCATTTTTATTAGGGTGAAAGCATAGCTTGGCATGTCCCTACCCACTTTCCTACTTCTAAACTCCTACAGCAGCTCCCATTTTCTACTTTTACGTACATATTCAAATTGTTCTGAACATGCCTTCAACTCTTTGAAGACATGGGTTAAGAAATGAGTGTGAGCTCACCAGGTTACTATTTACTAAATTAGAAGCAAATCATTAGGAAGAGCTTTGCAAAGAGCGGACAATCTATTTTACTTTTCAGATTTCAGAATCAAGCTGTCAGCTGAGAAAGTCATCAGCATCTACAAGGAGAGAGATGTGGTCTATGATGTTTATAGCGATGTGTGGACATGATGTCCCAGTCCACATGGCATTTAAACACAAGGATCAGATATAGTAGAAGAAATGAAGTATAGAAGTAAAGAAAATAATCATTATGCTTCATTTCAGAGTATTTTAGAAAAAAATAATTTATCCAACAAACCTTTATTTTGTCCCACTATATGAGAGGGATGTGAAGATGAGCAACAGGAATGTTGCCTTCAACTTACCCATCGTCAAATACGTGAAAATATGATCTCCTTCAATTTCCCCTTAAAGGAGCCCAATTTTCTAGATGGGGGAAACCTTAAAGTGATATAGGACTTGAAGGTGAAGATACAGGCAGGTGTCCCCACAGGGGGTCAGGAATAACTCATAGGTCTGAGCTCTGGCAGGGATATTTGATGATACCCATTTTACACATGGGCAAGTGAAGCCCTGCTAGAGTAAGTCACCATCTCGAAGACAAAGCTGAATCATACAAACAATTCTGGAGAAAGACCTATTATTCTACACTGAAGGGGGCAGGGATATTTGATGATACCCATTTTACACATGGGCAAGTGAAGCCCTGCTAGAGTAAGTTACCATCTCGAAGACAAAGCTGAATCATACAAACAATTCTGGAGAAAGACCTATTATTCTACACTGAAGGGGGAGACCTGGGCCCTTGAGACATGCAGGGAGGAGCAAGGTCACTTCGACTCACCTGTGGATGAAGTGGTTTTCCTCTAAATACTGACAGCCAAAGGCAATGTCCCGAGCCACGTGCAGAAGGTCCAGCATGCCCAAGGAGGAGGGCTGATTCTGTGGGGGACAGAATTGGTCCGCTGATGGTGAGAAGCTCTAGGGGGCAAAGGAAGATCTGAAATGCTGGCTTCAATGGCTCTCAAGGAGGCCGGACGCGGGCACGCTGCTCTGCCGGGGGTCTCGGCTCTAACTGCACATTAGAAATCACCTGGAGGCTTTAAAAAACACAGTGCCTGGGCCCCTGCCCAGACCAAGGAATCCATCTCTCTGGGTGGGCGCAGCA